AGGATTTTATCGCAATGTATTAAAATAGTGGTTTTACAGAATTTTTTACCCTAGTTGTCTAATCTCTTCAACCAGGACTATACTTTCGGGTTTGCCTTACCCTCTTCTCAGCTGCCATCTATTGGCGCCTAAAAAGCATTTTTGTACGTCTTCTCAATTCACTAATATTCGGATCACTAATGATAGAATTTAAATATGACCTAAATCATTTTATTGAAGGGTAAATCCTGGTTCTATGTGCACAGTATTTGTAATATTTGAAGCCTTTTAAAGAAAATGTCATTTCAACGATTCGGGAAATGCCCCATTTGAGGCTCATTTTCACCCAGAACTTTCAGGTTTTGATATATCATAAAAATTATTATAAGCAATATTACTCACAAATACGATAATGTATAAAAATGTCTGCAATGAGAGATATTTCAGTGAAGTGAGAGATATTTAAAAATAATATATTAGTGAGTTTGGGAGAAACAAAAAAATACATCAGTGACATTACGTCGTTATTCAGTGCATTTTGTAGCCTATACATTCATACACCTGAAGAAAGGACATTTAAGCGCTACTGTAAATTCGAAATGTGAACCTCATTTCAAAGAAAACTATTAACTTTTCGAAAAGCTTCATATGACGTCATTTCAAGCACTTCCAGTCACAAATACAATAGTGTTTACAAATCGTTGTAAATATGCATATTTAAGACGTGAGAAATCGTATAGCATCAATGGGTAACAACCAACAATGTCCGCTCATCTATTCGCTCATGCCCAACAATGCCAGCTCATTCTTTTCATATTTAACGCATTTAAAGGACGTAATTGATGTAACATAAATATAATATAAATAATAATATTAAAATCAAATATGAAATAATGTATAAATTCTAACTTACGTACCATCCAACTGCGTAAATTGGAATGCTGACTATCTTTATTTCATATTTATTTAAAATAAGTTTTAAATAATTTATTAAAGATTGATTTGAAAACGTATAACAAAAGCTCCAATGCAAGAAACGAACAAAGAAATATGAAATAATGTACACATTCTAACTTCCGTAGCATCCAACTACTACAAAATACTGAAAATAACGTTTACGAAGCGCAGGATTTTGAGAGCGGGCGACTAACTTAAACGACTAATTACCAATTACGCCGAAACATTTTTATTTTTGCAATTTTCGAAAAATCAGAGTTTTCAACCAACATGAGACCTACGCCATTCTCTTAAAGGTCCTTCAGACTATCCAACAACAAAATTTAATCAAAATCGATGGAGTAATTTTTTTCTAAATGTGGCTGGGGCTTCATGTAAACTACCCTTCAAAATTAAAATATTGATTTTAAATTTTAGGGTCTGCGACATCAGTCAGAGCGATTGGAGAATATCAGTTTTGGAGAAAATCGGCTGAACGGTTTAGCCACTAGCGTTCTTCACAAACTGACGGACGTTTTGCTGAGAGCAAAACTATTGACAGCAAAACATCTGTTTTGCTGTCAATCGATTTTTCGGCATCAAGGACCCACAAAACAGGGATACTGGGAACATCACATGTTAGAGGATTTATTTCAAAATTTGGAAACTGGATTTATCCATTTTTCGTTACCAGACGTTACCTGTAATTAGAGTATTTTCGTTACATGTAATTAGAGTATTTTTTGCCGAAAATTCGCCGTTTTTTTCACGCAGCATTACATAACTTTCTCTTTTTAAGAAGTTCCTTCTTAAGCGCGAGAAAGTAAAACTTCAAAAAGGTTTGCACTGCAGGGGAAACAGTGAATGTAGCTTCCACAAGCGGAACATACGTATCTGTTGCTAACCGTGAGGCACTTGAATTGGAAACCCGTATTAAAACGGGGAAGGATAAATATATAACAATCTAGATAGGTACAGACGTGGACAAATTATTAGCATGGGTTTGGGCATGACTTGAGAGAATATTTTGCATAATTCACTAATTTTGTCATCTTCATTCAAAATTGTAATGAGTAGTCCACGAGTTGTTCCCTTGCTGTAGAATGTTTTGCCTTCATTTTGGTTTTAAGAACACTTCAAAGTGCTTCTATTGGATTCTTATCCGGACTATTTCCTGAGCTGTCGAGCACACAAATATCACTGGAATCCAATTCACTCTTCACCGGTTTTGATCGGTGGCAAGGAGCACCATCGTGCAGGAATATTCCATACTCAGTTGGAAATCGTCACTCATTGCTGGAACAAGGCATCTATGATGACCTCTTAATATTGTTCCCTGTTCCTATTGCCTTTTACAATGTTAATTTTTGTCTGGTCAATACACTGAAATAACCCTACAAATCATCACTTTAGTGGAAAAAGTCACTAATTGCACCACACCTTCTTTCTTGATAGCATCTCCTGGCCGCCTTCAAACATGTTGGGGGCTGTCATCCATACGAAGGTTGCCTCTTATGATTCAGGGTTTGGCAACCCTGATGTTGCAATCTGGCAACTGACAGCTCTATCATAAAGTTGGATGTTTTGAGGTTATACGTACTCAGAACGTTTTGACATACGAGCGCTATTTGTGTTGTTTACAGTAACTTAAAAGATTCATCTCTTCCAAATATGGAATTAAATGGTAAACATTTTCGTGCGATTATTTTTTACAACTTTCGACATGGATTAACTCAGCAACAGTGCATGGATGTACTTAATTCAATTTTTGGCGATGAAGCTCCATCAAGGACCAGTGTTTATCGATGGTATGGTGAATTCAATCGTGGTCGTAATTCACTCCAAGGCGAATTTCGCGAAGGTCCTCCAAAATCAGTTGTTCAAAACCATTGATGCTGTGCGTGAACTGATATTGCAAGATCGTCATGTGACTTATCGTCAGATTGAGACAACCTTAGGCATTAGCGGGACGAGCATACATTCAATATTGCATGAACATTTGACAGTCAAAAAAATTGTTCACGTTGGATCCCACACAATTTGTCAATCGCTCAAAAAAGGCTCGTGTCGATTGGTCGAAAGAAATGCTAAAAAAATACGATCGCGGTGCTTCGAAACACGACTATGACATCGTGACAGGTGATGAATCGTTGATTTACGCGTATGAGCCCGAAAGTAAAAAGCAGTCGACTGTATGGGTGTTTCAAGATGAGCAAAATTCAACAAAAGTTGTTCGCACACGAAGCATTTCCAAAGAGATGGTCGCCTGTTTTTTTCGAAAAAACTGGACATGTCACAACCGTACCACTAGAACAACGCAGAACAGTCAATTCTGAGTGGTACACAATGATTTCTTTGCCGGCTGTCTTCCAAGAAATCAGGAAAACCAACCGCCGAAGACGGATCACTCTTCACCACGACAATGCGAGCTCTCACACATCGGCTCAAACAACTTCATTTTTGAGCACCCAAAACATCGATTTGATGAGTCATCCGCCTTATAGTCCTGATTTGGCAACGAATGACTTCTTTTTATTCCCGTACGTAAAAAACAAACTGAGAGATCAACACCTGAAGAAGCCCTTTTTCGACCCCCTGACCCTGAACACCTTTTTCGACACCTGAAGAAGCGTTTGCTGCATTGAAAATGCATGTTTTGGAGATACTTCAATAAGAGTGGCAAAAGTGCTTCAATAATTGGTTCAAACGCATGCAAAAGATCTTCATGGGGAATGCTTTGAAAAACAATAAAGTAACTTTCGATGATTAATATTTGTTTTTGTTCTCTAATCCTGAAATATAAAAGGCAACCCTCATAGCCCAGATGGTTTCATCCCTGAATACAATTGAATACCCTGAAATTTAGTAAAATAATTTAATTTGACATATTAAAACAGTTGTACTTCATTTCTCACACGAATGTTCTAAATTGGGGGAAGAATGGAATTGTATTTTGAATTATATAAAATTACCTTCAAAATACGCATCATTGGTGCAACTTGGTCCATTAAAGTCGTTTCTTGATCACGGAATTTGTCAATTTTTGTTTATTTTTTGGGGGGTCATCGTATCTTTAAGCCATTTTCAAACAGCCTTCTTCTAACAGTTCTTAAAAACTTTGTACTCCCTCTTGGACAATCCTTCGGGGTTGAGACGATGGTAAATGTCGAATCGATGCTTTTCTTAGCAAAAGACGGAACAAAACTCTGACTCACTTTTCGTTTACTTTTTCTTTTCCTCTGAGATGTGGTCCGCTTTTCTTCCTACAACTATTTGGCAAATCTATTGCCATACGGCACACCAACTCCTACAATACGAGTAATTTCGGTTTATGGTATTATTTCTGGATGGTAGTAGAAAGAAAGGAAGGAAAGAAAGAAAGGAAGAAAATCCGTTTTCGATATCAATGTAAATTTTATAGCTAGAACTAAAATGGGAATCATTTTTATTACATATTATTTAAATAATTCCTTTTTGCACCCCCTACATTAGCTAGGATATATGCATTTTTCATGCCCATTTTAATAAAAATATATGCCTTTCTGCCTGCCTATTTTAGGTAAAATAAATGCCCGAACTTACGGGTTCTAACGATTAAAATATTTAAGATCATATTTATTTACCAAACATATTTTTGAAAATACCATGTTTATCTTCCCAAGTGAAACAATGTAAAGTACTGAAATCATTTTTTACTTTTTCATTTTCCAACATGTCGGGATATCATAGGAGCAAATACCCTTTTTTTAATCTTGTTCTGTTTAAACGAAAAAAGAAAAGAATGGCTTCTTCGACTCCACTTCTCATGAGGATGGTGTCCAATGGTATCACCCGGGGCGGTTTACCTCACCCCCACCCCGCAAACGCCGTAGTGACGCCACTGTCTCCAACCAACAATTAGCTTTACAAGAAAATTGGAGTCGTAAAGAGTTATCAGTAATGTGGAATTTGAGTATGGAAAGTACATTTGGCTTATATCAGAAGTATTGTAAATCAGAACAATTATAAATGTTTTTAGAAAAACAAATCTTCCTCAATGTATCAAATAATTTTCGTTCGACCCCATACTTTTCTATTCGGTAAATGGAAATTAACGTTATATCCCTATTCTTTCTCTATGATTATTTCACAGCGGATTGACGAATATTCTTTCCACGCAGCCACCACTCACCTGCAGAAAAAAATGCGTTCATATAAAATGCTCTGTAATAATCGAAAACCATGTATTTGTCCTTTTTATCCCATCTTACAAAGGTAAGGATATGCAAAAATGTAAAAATCATTTGTTCCATGCTGTATAGTGAATGGTGTGTCTGCTCTTGAGATACACGAAAACTACTGTAACTCGAGTAATGTTGGTAGGTTTGAAATCTGAGAAGCTTGGCGTGGGTCTGCGGTCGGGTGGCGGCCGGTGGCAGCGGTCGGCGTTCTCTGCTTGAGGCCTCTGAGAAGTTAGGTGCCTAGAAGAGGCGGGTGTGGGTGAAGGTGTGGCCGGCTGAAGAGGGGTTTTGTAGAGATTAATTTGCTCGCAGTTCTCCATTTATTTAAAAGTGGTTTTATTTTGTCAATGGTCAACGGTACGTTGAAGAGGAATCACGATGACAGCTATACGATATACACGTAACCTTTTCCTTCGTGGAATGAGCATCGTTTATTTATTCGCATTTACATCACTATACATCCAGATACCAGGTAATACAAATGTTAGAGGGCAGTTTATGATCATATAATAATAAACAGATGTGGGAGAGGTGTAGAACAACTCAAAACGGTTCAGAATATTAAGTCAGCACATACTGTTTGCTTCTTTATTTATAAACATTAAGTCATGTGTGAAGTCATCAATCAAATGAAGTGGGAGTCAAGAATTTTATTGAATCAGCCTGACAAGCATTTATGAATTATGATAATTTGTGTTATTTGACAAAATGTTCACTTAACATTGATTTTTTTCTGGTGTATTTTAGGATTATATGGCAGTAATGGAATTCTCCCTGCAAGAACGCAGCTTGATAGCAAAGCTTCTACACTGACAGCACGTATCCATAATAAACCTACTTTACTATGGTTGGCTCCATACATGGGGTTGGATACCGAATATATGATGGATGTCCTTGCTCTTTTTGGAGTATTTTTAGCTTTTACAGGGTGTGTATTTGAAAATAAAATAGCCTTTTATGCTACTATGTAATGATTGCCAGCATTGAAAATGTTTAACATATATCAATTTTCTAGGCTAATTTCTCAGAAGTTTTGCACTGCTCCAATGTTTGCGGGTTTGTGGTCCTTGTATTATTCATTGTATCAAGTTGGACAAACCTTCATGTGGTTTCAATGGTATGTGCACATTGCTATAAAGAATTAATAATAATATTGACGTTTTTCTTCTTTTTTTTTATTGTGTGTGTCTGTGTTATTTCTGATTAAGAATTTTCATTTTAGGGATTTGCTTCTGTTAGAAGCAGGATTTCTGTGTATCCTTGTTGCACCATTACGATATCGTCCAGTTTCCAGGAGACGACCAACGCCACTTCCTCCTAGTGATCCAATTGCATTTTGGATGGTGCGTTGGCTGCTTTTCAGATTAATGTTTTCTTCTGGGGTAGTAAAGCTTACTAGTGGTTGCCCCACTTGGTGGAGTTTATCAGGTGAAGTATTTAGTTGTCAATTTTTTGGCTGATTTGTGAACTTTCCATTTCCTTCAATACATCTTATTTCTATGTTCTAATTCTGATACCTAATAGTTTGTGAAAAAATTCATGAAAACCTTTTACAGTCATATTTTATTGTGAGATTTGTTTACTAAAAAATAAAAATATTATTTTATACAATATTTTTGCACCTTGTATTTTTTTATTAACATCTGAAATTAAGTGTTTATAAAGTAACAGAGGAATTTTAAAGACATTTCATTGATGCAAACAACTGTGTATTAAAAAATTGCTCTTATTAAAACAATGATTGTGAAGGTCATTAATTTCATGAAATCAATTTTTAAAATATTTTTTCAAATTTCTTAACATTTTCATGTTAATGTACATTATATGTATGATTAATTTTGAGTCAATGGCTTGGCAATATAAAAAAAATTATTACTCAGTATATTGCGTGGAATAGGTACAGAAAGTTTCTATTTACTTTGTGAAAAAAATAATTTGTTCTAATTTCTTGGTTTTGAAATGACATAAGATTTTTTAATTTGATGAGTTTTATTTCACAATCTAGTTTGCATTTTTGAATATGCGTCTTTCAAATTACAATATTCGGAGGAATTTGAATTGAAGCTAGAAATCCCTTTACAGAATGTTTTTCATTTCTTTTCAGCTTTGTCAATTCATTTTCAATCTCAGTGCATACCAACTCCATTGGCATGGTATTCTCATCATCTTCCTGAGTGGATTTTGAAATTAAGCACAGTTGCTGCCAATGTAATTGAAATGGGAATACCATTTTTATTCTTTTTCCCTCTTCGTGGTGTGAGGATATCTGCATTTTATGTTCAGGTTTGTAGAGAAAGTGTAAAATTTTATTGTTTTTTACTTATGGAATATTTTTAAAAAAATCCTTTATTGCAGGTGTTTCTCCAAATTTGCATTATCATAACTGGAAACTACAATTTCTTCAATACCTTAACTATTGTATTGTGCATATCTTTGTTGGATGATGAATTTTTCCTCAAGAAAAAGCAGGCAAAAGGCAAAGAACAATGTGCTATTTTATTGTCAAATAGTTTTTAACTGTTTATTAAGGTGTAAATGGCTAACTTTCTTGTTTAGGTGGAAAATTGTGGTTGAGTTTGCTCAAAAAAGTCATTAACTTCAGTGTGTATGGAGGAGTTCTGTTTGCTACCTATGTTTTATTCAATTTGAGATTAGAAAATGGATTCACTATTACATCAGATATTGGTGCGTTTACTGTTTGAATTATTGAATATTGTGAATTTTCTGTTCATTAATTTTGTAGCATGAACTTATTTGTTGTTTCTCTTTCTAGCTTTTACTAGACAAGAGTTTGACCAAGCACTTGCCAAAACAGTACCAATAACAGTTTATATTGCTTTGGGTTCATTACTCTTCATTATTATACAATCACTTTCTACATCAATAATTGATTCTTCAGGAACCTTTTCCAAGCTTACTGCGGTCATTTCGACATTGTTGTACTCAACTGCTGCACTATCACTTTTTGGTCTAAGTATTGTTAGTTTCAGGTTATTTTTTACTTTTTTAACAAGTTCAAGTTATTGAAGAAACAATGCTTATAGAGGTTTTGCTTGTGTTGTAGGTGCCATTTTCACATTTACATCCTGCTGCTAATAATACTGTAGTTCCTGCATTCCGAACTTGGCATTCAAGACTTGACCATCTGCACTTGACAAATTCTTATGGTTTATTTAGAAGAATGACAGGTGTTGATGGTCGACCAGAGGTTATCCTAGAGGGCAGTAATCACATTGAGGGACCATGGAAAGAGTACAATTTTTTGTATAAACCAGGAAACGTAAATTCTACACCTCCTTTTGTAGGTGGGTAAATAAAATTGCGTAACATACTGTTAAAAATATAGGATTTTTGCAGTCGAATGTGCATTTGGAAAATGGGTATTATATCAACTGCTTGTTATTATCTCAATCATCAATTGCTTAGTTGCAGTATATTATTTGTAATATTTGGGTCATTCCATATTAAATCAACTCTATTTTTATTAAAATTTTATCTCATCATCTCAGATTCAGAACACACGTTTGAAATATTTCTACTCGTTTGTGAAATACAGCCATGTAAAGTTGGGTTCCCCCGAAAGTTTTAAATTGATGTAGAACTTCTCCCAAATTAAGATTAAGAGCTGGAAAAGGTGCCATTTTGCAGTTTTCATTACAGCATATTATATGATATACAACTCAATAGGGGTTAAGTTTCAAAACGTTTTTCAAATTTGGAATTATAATTTTGATTTAGTCTTTTTCCAAAATTCACCGCTTCAAAAAATTGAAAAAATTCGAAAACAGTTTTAATGTTTTGAACTGACCATGTATGTGTAAATTTGGGATCATTATGGGTTCATAAAGTAATCTTTAATATAAAAAAAGCATAATATTTGCTTACGCCAGATTTCACTGATTTAAAATACATTTGAAAACAAATTATAAGCCATAATATAAACAAATCATTAATTTAGTGTTTTTTGTTGGTGAGTGTGACGTTTTATTATTATTATTATTATTATTATTATTATTATTATTATTATTATTATTGCTCATAATAAGGGCTCAGATTCTAATGATGTAATTTTTTGATTGGTGCATGACATAGCTAACTTGTTAATCATTGTTTATCATGACATGGGTGATAGAAATGTATAGTTATTTGTTGTTGTTGTTTTTCTTCTTCTCTCTCTCTCTCTCTCTCTCTTTTGCCATTTTTCTGTGATTTTTCCGTATTTTAGTCATTTTTATGCATTTTGTTTCTTATTCATGTTTTTTATTGCTTCATGAATTTACAATGACACAGTAGAACATAATTTTTATTTTATCAGCAGTTCATGACAAAATTCACTACTGTAATGGACTCTGTTTTTGAACTCTTAAAATTACACGGATCTTTGGGAACATCCTTCAGCTTTGAAATCCCACAAATGTGAGATCGGAGCTAAGGATTACGTTTCCTTCTAAAATGAAGTCTTAATGTAAAAGATAATTTTATATAAATAAGTTTTATTTAAAATTGTAAAATTCATTGAATGAGTAAACATTGTCTAAAAGATTTTTGAGTATTTTTTAAAAAGATATATGATTTTTCCCTTATTTTTAAGTTTTTTTTTTTTTTTTTTTTTTTTTTTGTCTGGTTTTTAAATCATTTTTTTGGTCATTTCCAAATAATTTTTAAATTATCAGAATTCAAGGGCTGCTCATAATATATTTTGTTGTATTTTATTATATTGTTAATTATCTGCTTTGATTTTAAAAAAATCTCACTTCTGCTTGCATGATCACAAAATAAATTTCATTTTTATTTCAATGGTGTGAGAGACCTAATATAAAGATACTTTGAGTTAATAATGGACAAAAAAATAAAATATATAATGAGCAATTGTAATAGTAATAATAATAATAATAATAATAATAATAATAATAATAATAATAATAATAATAATAATAATAAAACACCATACACTCGCCAACAAAAAGCAATAAATTAATAATTTGTCAATATTAAGGCTTATAATGTGTTTTGAAATGCATTTTAAGTCATTGAAATTAGCATAAGTAAATATTGTGCGTTTTAATTACCGAATAAACCCGTAATAATCCCCAATTTATACTTACTGGTCAGTTCAAAAACATATAAGAATTGTTTTTTAGAATTTTTTTGAAGTAGTGATTTTTGGAAAAACCTAAATCAAAATTTTAAATTCAAATTTGAAACACTTTTTGAAACCTAACCCCTATTGAGTTGCATATCATATAAAAGGCCGTAATGATCGCTGCAAAATGACACCTTTTCTAGCTGTCTATTTTAATTTGGAAAGGTTCTACATCAATTTAAAACTTTTTGGGGAACCCAATTTTGTAAAACTTTATATGACTGTATTTCACAAATGAGTTGAAATATTTTACCCAAAATTTGTAGTTTTCTTATTCTTCATTTATACTACCTATGTGTCAAATTTCATGTGACTGAGATGATGTAAAATGACTGTGTTGAATTTAACATGGAATAATACATTTGTGGAAAAATACCTCATAAGTGTAATTATATTCTTTTGAAAAGTACACTATTTAGGTAAGATGTGCAGGTATCCAAGATGAAAGGGCAATAACTTCAGATGTCAGTTTCATTTGTCATATCTAAGAGTCTAATCTGAAGATGCATGCAATCATTTTAAATCAGCAAATGTTTTGAGAGAGTTTTATTTGTTTTTTAGCTCCTCATCAGCCTCGATTAGATTGGCAAATGTGGTTTGCAGCATTGGGAACATACCATCAGAATCCATGGCTTATGGGTTTGACTTACAGACTTTTGAATGGTCAGCCAGAAGTACTTCAACTCTTAGATTCTTCTAAGAATCCTTTTCCTAATAAACCTCCAAAGTACATCAAAGCCAGCCTGTACCATTACCAATACACACCCTGGAATCAGAGGTAATTTTTTATTTTTATTTTTGTCTTATACTGGGAAAGTGGGTTACATTCATTTTTGTTCTAGGAAGCAAAATCATAGTTTTTACAAATATGATAAATGTTCTCTTTCTGATGAATAGTTAGTTTTTAGTTTGAACAGAATAAAAGAATTGAATCATTAAAGACATGTAGGGACACAGATTTGAGGTTGTAATTCCTCTAGAATCAGTATTATAATACAGACATATTTTACTGGATTTCTTATTATTTGTTCAGGCTGGTGAATGATTTTTACTTCCTCCTTACAGAGGAGAGAGAAAATTATGTAATGCTTTGTGAAAAGAAGGCCAATTTTCAGCAGAAAAACACATATTTCAGGACGCTGGTAATGAAAATGGAGATAAATCCAGTAGCTTAATTTAGGGGGAAATAATCATCTGACACATAACATCTGTCCTTGATACTGAAATATCAAATGATGGCAAAACGTTTATTCATCCATCTGTGAACAACGCTATGTCTTTGCTGTTGTAATTTTGAAGAATGCTTCCTAGTTGTCACTGCATAGGGCATGCACATCTGTGTATTGCAATGCAATTTAATACCACTAAAATGACAGCAAACAAAATCTAGCAGTGTTTTTAGGAACCTTATTAATGTATAAACTTCAGTGAAAAGTCTGCGATCAAAAAACTTGCATAATAGAAGCAGACATAGTGTGAATCACGTACCCATAGATTCTATGGGCATCATCATTTTAGGCTTCTTGTGGGTTCCTGTAGATTCTAAGGGCAGCGACCTGAATGTATTAATGAAAACTGTTCCTCAAAGATAGATTTTGAAATAAGGTCATACACAAATTTTTGACAATTTTAGTACTTTTCACATAATTTATCATGGTGAGAAAGTATATGCTGTTTTAGCACCACTAGTTTTACAGATAATAAACAGTTCAGCGAGCATTGATGATCACGTAAAAAAATAATATAATAAGAAGTGATACAAATCATGTCAAAAAGCAGATGGGGAAAACGTGCATCTAAGTGGCATCAACAAATAGGTGTGGAAAGATTGTATCTTCATTGATTTAAGTAGCCCCATTCTGGCTAGTGATTTTGAAATATTTTTAAAATTTATATGTTGGTGTTTCACTTTGGGAATGCCAATTTGAAATGTTTTTTATTTATAATTGAAGATATCTTGAAATTAAATAATTTAATTTTTGTTATAATTCCTATGAATGCCTGACTCCAAATTTCTTACATTGTTGAACAATACTAGGTGGATTGACTAACCATCTTGTACAGACTGGGTGTTCTCAGAAAATTTACTCTGATTTGAACAAATTAAAATAGTTAGTCTGCAGAATCTAATTGTTAAATAAATCGATAATTTATTTCATTCAAACTTAACAAATTTTATCTTGTGGAATTACTCTCTGTTGGCGTGCCATTTTCATTGAATTTCATATTTCTTTAATTTATGGAGACCTTTTCAATGTCTATATGACATTTTCTCTGCAAAAAATTATTAAATTTAGTTGTCTGATGTTTTCCATTGCTCTTATAGTTCGTGGAGATGTTGTAGCCTGCTATATCAACAAAGTTTTCCTGGGAAGAATATTGAACCAGGAATCTTCCATTCTTATATCTTGATGGCGAAATTAAAACTGCCTACTTCCAATATAACTAATCAAATGCACGTAATACTAATGAAATTATTGAAGAAAACAAAATGAATTTCCTAAACCTTTAAAAAATTAACATGTACTATTTACAATTGGCTACTTCCAAGAATGTTTGGGATAGACATTTCTATTTCAATTGATTTCACTCTCATCCGCTAAATGTCTGATTCAAAAAAAAATTTTACTTCAAATATTTCTAATAAACACACACTCACCAATAATATCTTAACATGAAATTTACACTGCAACACAAACTGATCTTCTGATAAGTATTCTATCTCCTGTGTCAGAATATACAAGCGTCATCCTTCGTGTCTAAAATATAGTCTCCAAGCGTTCACTTTTGAATCTGAATTCCTTGTGGCAAAATCTAGTTTTGTTGAAGGAAGTGTCAATTTCAGTATCAGTTGTCTCGCTCAACTTGTCAAAACTAATTTTAGAATTGGCCTTGACCGTGTCTGCAGACAATCACTTACTCTGTCCTGATGCCTACACCAGTATTAAAACGTGACACCATTGGTTGTACGTTCCTCCTTCATAACTTCTTATGACTCAGTTTAGAAGAAATTTGTTTTAAAATCAACTATGCCCCAACTAGTGAATGTGTTTAATTTATATTATGAGAATTCATTCTCCAATATTTACTGTGTATTCCAGCCTCAAACACTCAGAGTCCTGAAACTGTGGTAATATTTGCATTTTATTATTGTCCCGTTCAATATATCCTCTTTGTAAATACTTTATACACTCATACATTGTCATTTCTGGGCTTTAATGGCCTAAAATAAATTATTGTTCCTCTAGATTTGTTTCAAATTTTCCCTTGGGATGTTTGGTATATCTCAATTGTAAATGAAAAGACCTTAACACTTAATTTCAGTTTAAGAGCCTGCATTGTATAATTTCATCACACTTAAACTAAATTAAATAAAAAAGAGTACCACATTTCTAGTACAAGGTAGCTGATTAAGAAATGAATGTGGATGATTTTTAAATGTTATTCACCCTATTCCCGTGTCTAATTGTGGATGAGTGAATGTGAAAGTAAACGGTCAAATGATTGAATGTGCAGGAAGAAAATTCTCATAGTCTAGAGTCTCAGTACAACCAATATTCTCTTGTAAAGAGGTTCTACTGTTCTTATGGACTAAGCATTCATTTGTCTCATTAAAATGCATATTCTGTTCAGATTCAAAAGCAAAGTATTCTTCGTTCATTGACAGGAAATACTGCAGTTTGTTTGATGTATTAGTCAGATTTTACTTTCAGTAAATATACTCGTCAAATGATAATATACTAGCCGCCATAAAATTATTTGTTAAAAAAAGACGGGATGTTGCAGCCTTTCTTACCTGATTTCCCTCAAAGATGGTGCATCATGATTTAATTGTATAATTTTAATAACAAGACAGAAGTCAGCTTAGATCCATTCACCATTTTTTCTTATTCAACATGTAATCGAACAATAATAATATTTATGATATAATATTATAGTTAATTCTCGATTCCAATGGAGACTTCAAACGAGCATCTACTTGAAATTTTATATTCTATTGATCAATTAATCAAATCACTTAAATAATTTTTGGACTTGGCACTTAAATGATTTTAGAAAATTAATGACTATTTTATTTTCACATTTACTTTATTTTGACAGCAACCAACCTTATAATATATCTTTCTAAAACTGAAATAAAACTTCATATTTAGATTAAATTGATCAACAAAAAAAATCAAAAGAAAGTAATATATGAAGATTTTGGGCAGAACTGCCCCAGGGGATACAAATTGTTTATGTTGAAAATCTTAATTAAAGTAAATTTTATCTTAAAATTTGCACCCAACAGTTCAATATAAATAAAACAGTTGTGTAATAGTTCTTTCTTAATTTTCTTAAAGTAGTGATAAAACAAAATTGTAAGAGTAGATAGTATTATAACCTATTGTAATTTGAATATTGAGCAAATTATGAATTTTAATATAATTAATGAATTTTTTACACAAAGTAGAACAGTTTTACAACTAATGTTAAATAGTATTTGTAATGTTGTTAATATATACTTATGTAGTCATGACATGATGCACTCGTTCATGTTTTTGTGTTTAGGCTGCAGTTTTCGGAAACAAACCATTTGGGTTCTATATTGCAATGTGCAGATTTACTGTGTATTTGTAAGGCACAATATACGATACTAGTATCATCTGGTTTAATGTCACCAGATGCAGAAAGTCTGCCGTCCTTATCTACTACAGAATGTCACACACATGACATCTACGTCAGACACATTGAAGGGCATATGTTGTTCGTGATCTTCTTTCATATAGCAAGATTCTGAAAGCTGTAAAAAGCAGAAATGCCTGTCAGAACTGTCAGAGAAACTATTGATATCAGAACCATCATCTCAATCAAGTTATGATGATCCATCTTCCACAGAATAGACTAAAGAGTTGTGGAAATAGAATTAATTGATATATCTTTTCAGAAGACAATTGCCACATAAAAATATTGTTTCTTGTGCTTTTTAAACACTTAATTCATTAGTTAATTAATTAACTAATTAATGTTCCTTTTGTAGCGATGCATGTATACGGAAAGAAAACCACAGTTAATTCAAAAACTGTTATTTATTGAACATTTGCATAATTTCAGAGTATTTTCAAACATGTGCCAAGTAGAGAAACAGGAGTTAGTGTTATTATTAAATAAAGAAATTAAATTATTCGAGTAAGGTAGATAAAGTATTAAAACTCATTATTAATATTTAAAATCTTAATTCGTTCAATATTCAAATTACAATTTGTTATAATATTATTGTTACAAATTTGTTTTTCAATATTTATAGTTTCTAATAAACACAAAACAGAAAAACCTCAAAAATTAATAAAATAAAACCTAATTTTAAGAAAAAATAAATAACTTTAAAATTACTGTTTTATTGTTATGGAGCTGTTGGGTGCAAATTATAAGATAAATAAATACAATTTGGGGAAACTAGAGAATTTACAGGGCCACAATTTGTGTTGAGTCCTTTTAATGACCTGCGACAGAACATTAAATATTCTTAAAAAACTAAGAAAACCTATTTTTCCCTTCTTTTTTGTTGGTTGTAAGAGTCAAAATCAAACACATGCCCCTGAAAAATTCTCAAAACATCTGTATCATCTATAGAAAATCGCAAGAATTATGGAAATTGTATTCATAGGCTGAGGTGCATGAGGTTTAAAAAAGTTAAAACTTAAACAAGAAGCTTAAAAAATGCTTTTTGTTTTTTTCATTTATTTATTTCGTGTGTATAAAGTACTTTGGGTAAATTGATTTAAATTCAATGAAAAATTTGTTGAATTTTTTTCTTCAATTAAGATTTTTATCATAAAAAATGTGTATCCCACAATTATCTATGACTATCTTATTCTGCTACTCCCTTTACAGTCAGTTTGAAAGTTTTTCAGGGCTCTTATTATGCACGAATTTGGGGTAGGATTCAATCAACTTCTCTGCAATCTAAGGTTGAGTTACGCTGTTTAAGAATAACAATTGAATTCAATTTTGACTGTTTTGAAAATAAAGTAGTTTTACATTGACATCACAGTGCAAAATATCAAAAGCATGCTGCTTCCATGATCAAAAACCTTGAAGTACAATTTTTTTAAAATAAAAGTTCCTGGATTTCATAGAGCTTTATTCACTTATAAGAATTACGATATAATCGTCATGCATTTGCTCTTTGGCCTAAGCTTCTCCCATGTGAGTAAAGCACTATTTAAATCTGTTGCTATGCTAATAACAATGTTCAATTTCTCTGTAATTATTTGTGGATTATTTTGGGGATAAAACTTTCAATCAAGCACGAATTTGGTTATGATTTCTCCAAATAATGTTTCTGAAGAAAAGCACAACATTTTAATTGTAATTATAAATGTTTATCCTTTCTGTCCTTTTAAATACCAGTAAAATGAATTGGAGATAATTGATTACTGTAATATTTCAATGATTCTTGAATTCTTTTACTGCTATTTCTGTGAAATTTGCTATAATTTTGATGACTTAATTTGCAGATGGTCTGAGGCCTGGTGGACAAGGAGTAAACAAAGTGAATACTTACCCATATTTTCTCGTGATCATCCTCCACTATTAGAGTACTTACGGAAACTTAAAATTCTTTCTGATGAAATAAAAGAGCCACCTGTGGTACCATGGCTGAAGTATGTTTTGGATCGTTTGAGATTCCTGTTTTCTCAGGTTGAACCAAGTATTCTATTGTGGTCAATTTTTTCTGCTGGATGTGTTATAAACCTTACATCAGGAACAGGTCGAAAGTAGCAATCGTATGTATACACTATATTTTTGACACGCATTTATTACTATGCTGGAATTGTGATTGAATTGAATATCAGAACTGAAAGAAAGATATTAATTATTTAGAATCTTTCACTCCAATTTTTTTTTCTGCTGAATCATGTGAATTTATTGAATCCTTTTTGTACTACAGACTTTCAATCCTCTATAGTTGTCACATATCTGGGTATAGATGTATTTCATCTTTGATAGCATTTTATACAGTTTTGCATGGTGTGGATCATCGGTCATGCATCTTTTATTACAAAATCTGTTCTTTATATTGCTTGCATGTATGTGAAAGAAATTTGGTTAATTTACCTAATAATGTACATTATAAAATGTTTCTCCTTGGTCATATCAGTAGCCAGTTTACCTTTATCAGACTGTGTTTTAGTATGATTGTAAGGTTGATTGCAGTAGAACTTTAGTGACTGAATATCATGTTACCCTTTGGAAATCTCATTAAGTATATGAATTTGATTGCGTGGTATATTTTTTGATGTTTGTATGATCGTGATTGTGAGAAGAAGTGATAAACTAAGTGTTTTTTGTTTAAGGAGGAACTACTATATTAATTTTGAAGATTATTTAAGGATAAAATTGCGTAATTGCCACTTATAAACTTATAAATTGTTTAGTATAGGATTTTATAATCAATTTTTTAACAAGATATTTGTTCTCATTAAAGTTTGTCTTGTGTTGTGTTGTGTTGTGTGGTTTACGGTTTATACCTAGATTACAAAGGTTGAAAATTATATTCACTAATCACTGTGGGGTATGATAAATATGTATGAGACTTGAAAATGAAGAAAAGGAATAAACTTGTGTTTTAGTTTTTTTTATGTATATTTACTGTACATGAAACCACAATCAAACATCCTTTTTTCATTTTATGGTTTAAACTTTTAAAATAAAACCTTTTGTATGGAAAAAAATGAATTGTATTTGTCAAATCTATGCCTGTTCCACCTCCAAATTTGTCCATCTCTCTTGACTTTCTCTATGTAGTGTACACCTATTTGTAGAAAATGTTGCTTATATTTGTTGTGCAAGTCAGAAACCATGTTATTAGTACCGAAAAAAGTTTTTTATTTACTTTAAAAAAAAAAAAAAATACATGTGGTTTCTTGGTGGAGGTAGTGCTCACCCTAAAGAACAATATGTATTGCAGGTAAATTCACACCATATAATAAAATTTTAAAAACACAACTTTTGTCTGTATTTACTGGTAAAGTGTCCAGCCTACTTTGTTTTCTTATAATGAGTTTTCTGTTTCTGAGGAATATAAAATATATTTTTATTTGTTGACTTGTAGTTAATATTTGTAATGTTAATGGTTTATGTATTGAATGACTATGGTTAGTAAAGAAATTAGTTAAAATAAAAGTATTTCAGAAGGTGTAAGTGGGCTGTGGAGGTGATGAAGGCAAATGAGCCCCTGTCAGGCGCGCCACTCGTTTCCTTTATCATGCCATTCATATCAGAATCAACTTGCTTCGAAGAGAACATAGAAAATGATAATTTAAATTTCTGCATTCCCCACTGAGCTCAAGAAATCTTGTGCAGATAGTGAAGCAACATTTATGTCAGAAGCAAAACAAGTGACGTAATCACAATCTCAGTATTTGTAGAAAGTATTAGGAAAACTGGTGATTCAGATGTACACTATTACCTGAGAAGCTGAGGTATAATACTTGTTACAGGCATGTTTAGTATTTTAGAATGATTCGGTCTTAATGGTAACTAATACATTAAATATTGTTAAAATCAATATAGTAAAACTTCATTTATACATTTTTCAGGGGACTGAAAGAAAAAATGTATAAGTGAGACAAACGCACTACTCAAATTCAATATTATGAGATAAACAAAAACTCAATATGTTTATATTGTTGTGCTCCACTCTTGGACATGATCGCACGAACAACCAACCCTACTTTTGATTTATTTAGTCACAGACCAGTAAAAACTGTATGTGAAGAATGAGGGAGAAGTACCATCTGCACACATTTCCATGAGCCAGAATATCTTCCCATTGTTCCAACTAAATTGTTGAAGGGTGAATAAAAGCTTAAAAAAAGTGAACTTAGCAACTAGTAGAAAACCAGACCTTGTCACCCCAAGTTATAGATAACTTATTTGCATCGGTAAACATATGCAAACAAAATAGTAAAATGTCTGGGTCTATACATTACCACTACTAGCAAAAGGTGAGCTTAACTAAACTTGTGCATAGTAATGCTACGTTTATACCCAAAGCAAAACAAGGGTTCATATCCATTTGCTCAAGGGATCAGTGAAATGACAAAAACTTGATGTTAAAGTAGGCTTAAGTACATTAGCTTAGCTTAGTTGCTTTAAAGGAGGCTTAAGTACATTAGCTTAGCTATAGTTGCTTAGAAGAAACGCAGGTCAGGCATAGGCAAGCCCAATGGAGAAAATAGCGCTGATATTCACAATTATTGCGACAAGCCTATTCATGTTATAAATATGTGATGCCCTCGAGTTTCAATATTTCCTTTAAGGCATGTGTCGCACAAGCGTTGCGTTGACGCACGTCACCACGCTGACAGTATAGCAGTCCTGGATACTGTCACGATCATGCGGTATCTAGCGGCACGACCGAGAAATCCAATGGCATAATGCCACCGTGAAATCTGGCCTTGAGGGGTAGAATTATGAAAACCGCACTAAAAAAATGCGAAATTAACTACGTGTGCTAACGGACTTTTTACTTGGATACTTTCTCCGATGAATTGACTTTTGTCCATATATATTTATTTGATATTACATCAATCGTTGCTCCAGTATCTCCAGATTTCCATGGTAGTTTCGTTTATTACAGAGTATATCATTTAATCGCAGAGGTTTATTAAACTACTTCCGTAAATTTCATCACAAGAATTATGTCCGGTATCTGAAAAAATTGAACTGCCTCTACATCATCAATTACATCTACAACAATTTTGATTGGACCACTTCTTGCCCATTCTCTACCTTCTCAGTTTTTAAAGAATTGAAATAATGTTAGCACGATTTTTTAAAATGTCCTATTGTCTATTGAGCAGCTCTTCTTAGTTCATCGTCATAACGTTTCCTTTATCATTTTGTCGTTTAGATTCAGAATAATAGTAGTAATAAAATATAAAATAATATATACCAATCGTGTAATTTTTTGTCAGTTTGGTAACGGCCGTCCGTAACGTATTGCCGTTGACGGAAGAGAAAAGCTCCCACTGCATTCCATCAACGGGGGCTGGTGCCCCAAGAGACTGGAGATTCTACCTTCAAGGAATGACGGAAATATCATTTCCAAAATATATAAATCGAATAAATAATAAAAATGTAAGCAATTTAAATTCGTTAAAACTAAGTTATATAAAAGTTATATAAAAGCATTATGTACATAATTTATGCATCGTGTCCGCGTAAGTTACGCGTGTCCCCGTAACACCTCCTGCGCACGTGGTCTTGGGAGTTGATTTTCACTTGTGACTCCAGCACATTGCAACAATCACTATTGCTTCGACACGTTTCACACAAATAAAATTATTTTATTTTGAAAACTTCTCCACACTAGTATATAAAGCAATAATGAAAGAAAGATCTTCGACACACACCTCCGTATTCACAAGAACGCTTGCAAACTGCTGGCCAGCTGTAGGCACTTACTTTCAATAAGCGAAAGCAAGAAAATTACATTGCAGCGAGTTAGACGAAGATAATATTAGGATTCCCCTGAGACTCCCTTGGTTGCCGCGCAGTGCTAGTCAGTCAGTGTCACCCGCCTTGTTGCATAACCAAAAGGCCCTATGTTCCCCATGTTAAATCGAAGGGCCAAAGAATAAATGCAGTAAACCCAGTAATATATCCAGGAGCCAAGAGTGTGGTGCAATTCCTGATAAGTCTCCAGACACCGGGGAGAGCGCCAGTCGGACGCACTTTGGTTTCAAAATGATTTTGTATACATCGATAATGCCACAATATCTTGAATCATGAATGTCATTAACAGGAAAAGTATGTTCCTAAGATGTTATGAGATGTTTTTCGATTATATCGAGGTTGTGCAACCATGCAACCTAAACAAGAGCCGCCATTGCATTCCGCCATAAGGCTTATGAAAAACAAGGGGGCGTGACGTCATGCACTCACTGCACGGGCTTATCCAGAGAGTAAGGGCATATGTTAACACCCACATTCATCCATGGGATGGGTTTGCCGGTGGACGAAGGCTGCAGTTTAACCGCCTTCAAGGGTGGCGCAGGGGCATACTGAAGAAGGGTGAGCTCTCCAGATAGCATTAGTTTGCAGCTCAGCGAGTAGCGTAGTGCATCAACTAGTTTTCCCAATATGCGGTAGGCGCGCTACTCCCTTAAGCTCGGACATTACAGGACTGTAGTCTTCGTGATCGTAAGAGGATATGTGTAGGAAGACAATGCACGCAGTGCACTGCAATGCAATGTAAAGGTCCATTCACAATGCAAACATAAGCATGGTGTTAACATAAAAGTTAGGATTACGTCCATAAGCGGACTCATTCACAATGCGTTCGCATAAGCATAACACACACGTAAGACCATAAGTAATGACCATGCGTAAGACAACTTAAAAGCTTCAAGCTGCTGTGCTTATGCTTAAGCAAGAATAAGTTATGAACCAATCACAGAACGGTAACTCAAAATCGAGAATTGAAATGAGAGCGAAGTCGATAGAAGAACTAACGCCATATGAGCCATGGACACAGTCGAAACCTTGAAATCGATTCTCACATCCAACAAATAGTAAACTAGAATGCCTCACAGCCAATAGTAACTCTTATTTTGCTTACGTTTATATTAGACATTGTGAATACTTCAGTCTATCGCTTATGTTAATGTTTATGTCTGTGCGCTATGCTTATGTTTACGTGTGCATTGTGAATGCGTCTTAATGCGTTTGGAGCCTTCCCCATTTAGAAAAACACGAGCCGCGTCTTGGATATAATAAGCCCACTTTAAAGGATCCAGCTTATCAACAAGCTATCTGGTTAAACTTTTGCAAATACAAAATAATGTCTTCTTTCTTCCACATTGCCTTGTGGAGCAGAATTGCCCCCACAGTCCTCAAACGGCCGACACAGTCATGACACTTGTAGAAATTCACGTGGGAGCTTCTCGGTCACCCTTCATACAACCCAGACCTCTCTCTGTATTACGCCATTACGATTACGCCATTATTGATCCCTTAAAAAAAGGGGGACGATTCAACGACGACGTCAAGCACTACGTGCGGAACTGATTCGCAACGCAGCCTCGGGAATTTTATGAGACATCCATTCTCCGCCTTGTGTCGCAGAGGGATAAGCGCCTCAACAACCAGGGCCAACACTTCTCACGTAGAGATACTGGTCTTCGTTCCTAGGTTTCCGGTTCGTTTCTTTCTGAATGCTCCTTATATTTTAGTAATTCAACAAAAAAAATCAGACAATAATAATTATAATAATAATGTTAATATTTATTGAGTTACATATACAATTACAATCGTGTATGACGAGTCAAATATGTTATATATAGAGGGAGAACAATCGCACACATCTTGAGTGCAGCGAGTGAAGTTACATTTACTGTCCAGAATCAAATCATGGGGCTATCTCAGCATTTGCTCAAAGAACCAGGGAAACTGGACAAAAAACCTGATCAAGACGGGATCATTGTCCTAGAGATTATACTACAATACTTGTAACAGATATATTAAGATAAGGCATAGTAGATAATTATTTTTAGTAGCAAAATAGTTGAACATTTAATTTACTTTAATTTAATTTAAAAGACTTAAACATTTCATAATTTGCACTGTTTCATTTTTCAAAATAACATTTACTTGGTATGGTGATTTTACTGCTACTACTTCTAATAATAATAATAATAATAATAATAATAATAATAACAACAATTATGGTTATGGTGACAGGTACATATGATTTAACATTATTAGCATACTCCTTGATTAATACTCCAAGCTACAGCTTCTACTACTTCCACTCCCACTGTCTCATCAATGTCTTATATTTCAACAAACCGTTTCGGAACTAAGCTGTTTAAATTGGCTTGCTACCCCAATGCCTTTATTACTGCCTCGCTTAAGGATGCTATGTTATCTGTGCTGCCAAGTACAATGAGCAATTCCTTGTTTTGTGTCCTACG